AACCATCAAGACGCCTGCCATTTGATATAAATAAATATTCTAAGTGAACAAAGGCCGTAGAATTTATCTCGACCACAACTTCAGTCATTATTAAAACCCGCCTTCTTTTTCCCTTAAGAAATAAACCCACACAGTTCATTTTCAGCGAAGAGAAACAAGAAGGAATAGAATTCTGATCTACTATATTTACGGCAATTTAGACGACAGCTTGAGTGAAGGGAGGAGGAGGAGTAGAAATTTCAAAAAAACTTTTAATATCTTCCATATCTACCAATAAAGCCGCATGAGAGCTTTAAGTAAATTACTTGCGTTTTGGAAGTTCCTATTTTCTCACACTTGGAATTTTACATAGTTAAATTAACTTACTGATTTTAGGCTTGGAACGTCTAGAAACAAGAAGCTGTTTATCAGTTAGTTAGCAGTAGTATTGTGGATAGAAGGCAAACAATGGCGAATTAATGCATTAATGAAGTGTATGGGGACCCTCGTGAAGGAAAGGAACACTTTTTGCTTATAACCGCACCAACCAATCAAATCATGCTCCAGTTTTTTTGTGAGTACTTGTTATAGAAGAACATTCTGTCAGCATTAAAGGATCAACAAATTCGGTGGAGTGGCCAATGGCACAGCAATTGCGTAGGACTTCTAAAATGTTTGTGCCTCCTTCCATTTAAATCTTCCTTCTTCAAGCACTTATATTTCATCAAATTTTGCACTTTTTCTTCAAGAATTTTTTTCTACTCAGGCAACTTGAAATATTCTTTAACTTCTTTAAGAAAACGTACTATCAAGTACGCATTCTGGTAACTAGTTTTGCATTTTAATTATTAGGACTGGCACTGGGTAGTTTCGGGTCGCCTAGACGAACACAGAATATTTCTTTTAACTTGAAGGAAAATTTCAGTGCCTTCGTTTGTCACAGCTCACTGTTGAAATATGACTGCCGTAATGGTTTAGCTAAAACATTGTCGACGGAATCGAACTGATTTTCCACAAAGCGTCTATAAGCCTCACCTGTTATGCTATCCAGATTTTATTCCCATATGAACAACCTAGCGCAAGCGCACCAAATACCGTAAACAGTCAAGCATCCTTCTAAAGTCCAAAACACCATTAACTGGTCTCATCTTCCGTTCTTTCGATTTTTGAAAGATTTTTTAATCCTATTAGATAATGAAAGTAACTTTACTTGGGATAAGCGCTGCTTCATTTTCTGCATAAGAGAAAAATGACGCACACATGTATGGGCACTATAAAGCATCATGTGATGTTAATCAATGAAGTGTGCAATCGAGTTTTGCATTAAGAGGTGTTAAAAGTATTTGATCATTTTCTTCTCAATGAGCACTTCTTTGTCACCTAGTGTGACAAGCCTCATTAACTACCTTAGCCCTAGCAATTCCTTCGGAGAAGGCAATATTGAGGGGAAGACGATCTTGAACACCTGTGATGATCGCCAACTCACCTTTAATTATCATAAGGGAAATTTTTAGTTAAGACGATTGATAAGTAAAACCCTTTAAAGATCAAGTTCGAGGGAAGTTATTGAAGCAAGGTAGAAGGATAGGAAATTGGTGACGGATCATGCATAAAATTTGTAATAGATCATTGCACAAGTACATGTCCAGATGGATTAAAAGACTTTCAATAGTTTTTACATTCAACGTAATGGCATAAATGAGCTAGTTAAAAATAAATAATAATGTGGGCAAAATAAAGAGCTTTTCATTTGAGGGAGACTCTATAATGTTACCCGTAACTCAAGATGAAAGTTTGAAAATGTTTTTACAAATGAGCTTAGAGCACACGCACAGGTGAGTAGGGAGATGCCTTAAATCTGATTGAAAATAAAAAAGGCCATCCTTGAGAGACCTCCTATGCGCCTGCCAGTGAACCTATCGACGTCAATTAGGTAGTTTTAGATTTATAGAATTGAGTACAGGTAATTCAGCTAGAGTAACCTTTAACAGTGACAAAACTCGGAAAACAAGTTTGTCAGACTGACAAGATTTAAGCTTTGAAAGATAAAAATATTTTAAATATACAACAGTCGTAAAGCAGGTATAAATGCTAAATCTTTATTGTACTTAAATAAAAAACATGCGAAATAAGACAAATACATCTACTTATGGTAAAACAAAGAAGAGTTAAAATGCCCAGATATGTACGGTCAGCCAGGGCCAAAAAGAAGCCTGCCAAATGCTCAGGAATCGAGAGAAAGTGTAGGCGGTTGCCGCCTAAAAATATCAAACGGTACATCACCGATTACATCCACAATGTAGTAGTGATAAGCCACGTTGGTCAGGATGAAAGTATACTCAGTCAACGCGAACAATGAATACACTAAAAGGAGATAAATCTAGACATAAACCAAACTACATACAGTGAGGAAAACAGGTATGATTATGAGCAACATAGCAGAGAGCTGATATGAATATGGAAATAGTCATTGCAGCATAACAACGACATTTCCGCCTCCATGATAAAGACTGAAGATGGGAAAAATTATACAAATTGAGACACTACCAAAAAATATGATTTTTGCAATCTTCCTAGTAGAAAGAGATCTAGGAAACCGAAGAAGCCACAAGATATGACAAAAGTTCCAAAGGAATTCCGATGTACAGCTGCTTAGAGAAAACATCAAAATAATTGGATATAAAGCTTACGAAAATTTTCAACCGATGTGAAAATTGTCAACAGGAAAAGGCTACAAATTTCAATATAATGCACCCAGAAATGCGTATTGAGAAGAAGAGATTTTGGTGAATAAACAGGGACGAGTAAATCAGCCAAGCCCTGGTTGTAAAGAACGTGAATATAAAGTCGAAGAATACAAGAAATTCCAATGCTGGCAATCCAAATGCGTTTCCGAAGGCCGACTGAAACGGAAGCACTAAGCGAAGGGATATAGTTTGGGACCTATATTCAAAGAAAACAATATAGTAAGTAAATGAAAAAAACGTAGAAAATTTGATACAATTTAATAAAGCTTACATTACAATGAGTGCGTGTAAGACCCACACTATCCTCAAACATGGTCCATAGTATGCAGGTAATGAGAGAAACGATTGGAAGTGAGGCAGTAATCTGAACAACAGTTCTCACTGACAGTGTCATGAGTGAAGACTACGAAGTCAACTTTATTGGAAGATGTACTTAAAAGCGAACAATAACTGAATATTTGACGATAAATATCAATTATGAATCAAGGCGAGTAAGTATAATCAACCAACAACAACCATAAGTGTTTGCATAAATAATATGTAATGTTATCTAAAATTGAGATTCCAATTACCAGATAAATCGATAACAATAACCAACAGCCGAGTTTAGCGCCTTTTATTTGCCAAGGCCGATGGAATATGTCCTAGAAATGTCATTCTATTGTGGCTCAAAAGGTAATTAAGTAAGGCCTTAATGATATTGTAATACCTTTAAAGCTTCGGCATGTTTAAATGAAAAGAAGCGGAAGATTATTAGCTATTTTAGTTTAATTTTTTACCACTCTTATAGTACTGATATCAATTTAATTATTTCCTGATTCCAATGATAGATATCTTTGATTTACTAAGAAATTTATTTATATCGGTTGAAGTTCTAGATTAATTATTCCAATGTTAGTATCTAGAAGGGTCGAATTTTGAAAATTTTATTTATTTATTTAAACCAAATGGCAGGCATTTTGATAGTTATCAAAAACCTTTTAGTTGATTTCAGGCTCTACACTTGGGATGAAACATCAAAGTGAAAAAATTCGAGAGTGGGGGAGGGGGACAGAAGAAAGTTTCAACGATGTAAAGAGACGGACACGAAGGTAGAAAATAGGTGAGGAGAATATTATAGAATTAGACGAATATGACTTACGTTGGGGTGATGGTAGTTGAAGTGAGAAGTCAACTGCCGGTTAATAGACTCTTTGCCACATGAGTATACTTTGCCACACCCCACTTTGGAAAAATCAAGCCAGTTAAAAATTTATACGTTGAAGATGCTTATCCATATAACGAAATTATTATGTTTGTGGACATTATGACCAAAAGCAACTATATGGACGATAACTTAGATCTAAACCAGCAGTTAATGACTTTATGGTAAAAATATAAAAATAAACGTTTGTGAAAAATTGTGATATTAGTAATATATTTTGGAAATAGGTAAATTTTACTTGTATATGAACAAGGAGACATTAAAGTATCAAATTTTTAGAATTCCATTATTCTAAATAGAAGAGATTTACAAAAAATAGGTAAATTGAATCTATTCTATTTAATTTTTTGGGAATAAATCGGACCATGCAATGCAAAACTACACTTGTAGTGTGTAAATATCGAGTAATTTTGTACTCGAGCAAAGCAGTCCAAACATGTTGATTTATTAATACATATTTTTCAAAAATCTGCAAGAAATTATGTCGTAATGTCGTGGTTAATATGAATGTTAAGTAAAATAGGCCACAGTTATTATTGCGGTTATTTATTAAGCTTGTGAAGTACTACACAAGATAGTGAACATTATCTTCAAAATTCTTAATTTTTTCGGTCATTGTGTCATTTGTAACATTGTTTTACAGTTACGAGTACTGATAGAAATCGATAATTTTTCTTTAACAGCTTATTTTATGCTATTATGCAGGATTACGTAGCTTATACTTCATTAATTTTCGTAGCTGCAGGCATTAAGTAATAGCAACACGAGTGGTTCAATATTTGCAAATTCTTGTGCTTTAAAGTAAGTAAGAATAGATCTAGAAATAAGTTATCGGGAAAACTCAAATTGGTTTATTCATTAGTCCTAAAACAGTCCTCAACTATTTCATTCATCCACTAATGTTAATTAGTTATCCTATGAATTCTAACGACATCAAATTAATGATAATCATCAAGAATAACAAATTGGCCCTTAGAAATTGATTCTTTTTTCATTAAGGTGTAGCAGTATGGGCTTAAATTTTTCCACATACCATTATTATTCAAATAGTCAATAATGTGTAACTAATTTGGCATGCAATATAAAGGATATAATTAAGTATATATATAAATAAATATTGTAAAATGTGACATTTATCGTTCCATTTAAGATAATTGTAGCATTACTAAAATTTCTTTTAAAAATAAAATTATGCATTACTAAGTTAAGGTAGGTTTAAATGAACTTCAATTAGTATTTACTCCAGTGTTTACAGCCTAACTAAACCAATGACAACAGGAAAATAATAAAATCGGAGACGATAACATTCCTATATAGATTCATTGACACAGTTAGAAAAAAAATTTTCACTGAGACAGTAAATGGCATCAGAGAGCGGCATAATAACTGAGAGGACCAAAACGTAAATGAGTGTCAATCTAAATTTCACTGTTTCATGTCGGAATTGGAAGCTCACCTATATATATCTAAGCTGCTTTTCCAGTATTCTTTTGAAAAAATAAAGCAGTTGTTTTTTTGAGACCTATTACAATTAATACTTTCAACCGAATTCAATCGAAGTAGATTGAAAATCAGTATCCAATTTTAAAGATAAAACTCCTCTTATGTATTTTAATATTTAGTTTATATTGCAAAATATAAAAAGAATGTTCTTTTAGGCTACATAAATAATGAATTAATGAACTTTTGCAACTACGCGTTAAAACCATTAGAAATTATAAGCGCTTCATTCCAAGTGCTATGATCTTGTCGTGTTTCCCTTATTGCTGTACTAGTAGCTATTTATTATAAATTATTTAGGCGATAAAAATGGCGGATTCCAAGAAGAATAAAGCTAAAAACTCTAAAGATGCATCGTCGACTTCAGCTGCGGCAAAAACTAAAAATGCCAAGCCTACGAAGGAGGATTTACGTTCGAAAAAGCTAGATGCTATTAAACAGAAGCTTGAGCGTCAGCGTCAGGAGGAAGAACGTCTCCGTAAGGAGGCTGAAGAGGAGGAGCGTCGTTTTCAGGAGGAACAGCGCAAGATAGAGGAACAAAAACGGATTGAGGCGGAGAAACGCGAACGTAGAAAACAAAAGGAGAAGGAAAGGCGTCAAAGATTGAAGGAGGAAGGAAAGTTATTAACAGATAAAGAGAAGGAAAATAGAAGAAAGGCTATGGAACTTGCTCAGGCTCGAGGTTTGAATGTGCAAACTATGAGAAATAATGCGAAGAAAACCACCTACACCAAACCCAAAAAGAGACCTCAGTTTCAGCAACAGCAGGTTCAATCATCTTCAGCTACTGATGGTGACAAGCCCGAACCAGCTGCTGTCGAAGAACAGGTTGATGAAGTCCCAGATGATGTGAATTCCGCAGAGGAAAAAGGTTGGGAAGATCTGGCTGCAGAATTAGAGTTGATTGAAAAAGAAAGCGGCAAAGATAGTGAAATCGTTGTTTTTGATGAAGCTGTTCTTAGTGATAAAGAAGAGGTTATTGTCGATCCTGAGGTTAAACAAGTCCCTTCAATCTCCCCGACTACCTCAAGAGATACTTCTGCGCACGAAATTTCCGACAAGTCCTTTTCATTGAAAGTGTCTGAAGATCAACTAACCGAAGAAGATAAGCGACGGTTGATCGAGGAAGCAAAGACTAGGCTTACTAACCATCAGAAGAACATGGAAACCGCAGTCACTGAAAGAGTTCTCAGATCAGGTGTCATTTGTGTTATGGGACATGTCGATACCGGCAAAACTAAGATACTCGATAAACTCCGTAACACTAATGTGCAACTTCGAGAAGCTGGTGGTATTACACAGCAAATAGGAGCAACTAATGTTCCAAGAGACAATATTGTCCACGCAACCCGTATGTGCGATTACTTCAAACCGGAAGATCTAAAAATGCCAGGTCTTCTGATCATCGACACTCCTGGCCACGAATCCTTCAGCAATATGCGTATTCGTGGCTCTTCTTTATGCGATTTTGCTATTCTTGTTGTTGATATTATGCACGGTATTGAGGAACAAACTAAGGAATCTATTGAAATCCTTCTTAAACGTCGAACTCCCTTCGTTGTTGCTCTTAATAAAATCGATCGTCTGTATCAATGGGAGAGCTATCCAAACTTATGTGTACAGGAGGCTCTTTCCAAACAAAAGGATGTCACAATGAAGGATTTTAACGAGCGGTTCAAAGCGGTTAGTTTGTATTATAGTTTTTTAATTTTGTTTTATTGTTTTATATAATTTACTTGTCCTAATTTGCGAAATTTCTAGGTTGTCCAAGACTTTGCCATGATGAATTTAAATGTAGAGCTTTTCTACAGGAATGAAAACTCTGCTGAATACATCAGTATGGTCCCCACATCAGCTCATTCTGGTGATGGAATGGGTGATCTCTTGGCCTTCATGTGTAAAGAAATGCAACGTCGACTCTATAAACGTCTCACTTTTTCGGAGGAACTTAAAGCCTCAGTTATGGAGGTATGTTGACACCTTTATAATTTTGTTACCCCTTATTTTTATCTTAAGGTCAAAGAAATCGTCGGACTGGGAACAAGTTTGGATGTTATTCTTGTGAACGGCCGTATCCGCGAGGGTGACACTATTGTACTCGCAGGTCAGGAAGGTCCCATAGTAACCACCGTTCGTGGTGTTCTTATGCCCGCCCCGATGTCTGAACTACGTGTCAAGGGCAACTACGCACATCTCAAGGAAGCCGTTGGTTCCTGCGGTGTTAAAATTATCGCTCGTGATCTCGAAAAAGCCCTTGCTGGTCTTCCTCTTTACGTTGCAACTGATCTCGCTGAACGCCTTTATTATAGCGTAATGTTTAATCTATGTGCAACTCTTTGTTACCCTTGCTAAATCATGTTCGCTTTCTTGCCATTTTGATTATAGGAAGAAGTGACACATGGTCTCAAAAGCGCACTTACCTCGATTTCCGTCAGTCCTGTAGGAGTTTATGTTGTAGCAAGCACACTTGGCTCTCTTGAATCATTGCTCACTTTCCTACGAAATACCAACATTCCGGTAGGCACTTATACTTCTAATTTGCGTTTATGTATCCCTACTACTCCTTTTATGCGCAGTTTATTCCCGCCATCCATCTTTTAAAATTTGTCTTAAATTACCTTGTACTGTTTTAGTACTCTGGTATAAGCATCGGTACAGTGCACAAAAAGGATGTTATGAAGGCATCGATAATGGTGGAACGTGATAACAAGTACGCTGTCATTCTGGCCTTTGATGTACGTGTTGACAAGGATGCCGAGAAGATGGCTGCCGAAGTTGGCGTTAAAATCTTCACTGCCAATATTATTTACCACCTTGAAGCTAGTATGAACGAATATATGTAAGTCTCCCTGTAACAATTTTCCTACTTAAAAAAATAAGTAGTTTTTGTCAATTCATATATGCCTCTTTCTAGGGAAAATATCCTACAAGAGAACCGCAAGAAGCATGCTGACCAGGCTGTATTTCCAGTAAAACTACGTATCCTTCCCGATATGGTGTTCAATAAGCGAGCCCCGATTGTCATGGGTGTAAATATTGAGGCGGGACTTTTGCGGGAGGGTACCCCAATTTGCGTCCCGTCAAAGAATAACATTGTTCTTGGCCGGATTGCTTCAATTGAAAGCAATCACAAAACTGTGTCCGAGGCACGTACCGGCCAGGAAGTGTGTATTCGTATCGATCCTATTGAAGGCGAAGCACCGAAAGCTTACCGTCGGCATTTCGATCATACGGATACGCTTATATCGAAGGTAAGTCCTGTTTGTATTTTTAAAGGATAAAGAAAGCCTCTTACTATGGTGTCTTGAATAGAAAGTTCCGAAACCCCACGTTAAATGGGCTTTTATCTTTCATATTTCAATGTTATTTCTTATTATTTTCAAAGCATATTTGAATGGAGCGGGATAAAAAAATCAAAACGGGTGTAGGAATAATTGTTAATGGGAAATTGGTGGGAATATCATATTTATAGGTGCAATTAAAAACGTTTGAGGAAAACTTAAACCTTTGTTGAACTCAAAACAGTCAAATGAAACGAGTAACTTTAATTAGACTTTGGAATTTGAGATAGTAACGTATAAAGTCGTTTTGGTTGTTTGGGAATTAGTTCCTCAAGAGTAAGTTTGGTTGTAATAGGGTTGGGTAGTGATGTCGTCTAGTTGTTCCGTGTACTCTGTAAAATTCGAAAACTCGTTTTATTGCAAATTTGATGAATTATTACATAAATACATGCTTAAATCAATGTAAAACCCCTAGTCATTGCTGTACAGAGATTGGGTTCGTAGGATTTATAGTAGGATTCCGAACAACTTGAATAGTAGACAAATGCTTAATATTTATTCAGAACATAGGGAGTTCTCAATCGCTGTGCTTGTATATAGTCCCTGTTTCTACTGCTTTACTTAAAATACTAGCTTGTGTTTTGAAAGTTGTGCAATAGTAATATATCTATTAAGCTTGAGTAGATGTTTTATTGCTTCCTTGTGGTAGGTAGGATTATGAATTATATTACGTTCTTTTAACAATTTAAAAAGTACATTAATTTGTCAATATCTCAAAGGTTGTTCCAGCACCCAAGATAGAGCACTTCTAGTTGCACTTATTTGGATCTGAATCAATGTCTTAAACTATTCTCTTATGATTATAGATATCTCGCGAGAGCATCGATGTGATAAAGGAGTTCTACCGCAGTGATTTGAACAAGGAAGACTGGAAGTTGGTGATGGAGCTTAAAAAGATGCTCGCTATCATATAGTTGTCGCGGATTCGTTTGTGTAATGTGAACGATTATGTGGTATCATTTCATAAAGATCTTGATGTATATCTTTTCATCTTATTTTTCCCCTATATAACATCTAAGGTGCTGTGATAATTATTTGAGGCCCTACCTTTGAGATTAAGAGAAAGCTTACTAATCTGTTGCTCTTCCTACTATCACAAGATAGGACTTAGTATCCATAATTAGGGGCATCAATGGGAAGGCGTTAACTTTGAGGTTGGTAGGCTGAAACTGCGCTTAATCAGTTGAGTATGGGTAAAAATAACTAGTGTGTAGTGTGGGAAAATCGGTAAAGATCTTACAGGCCGAAATACGAGTTATGCGCAGTTGGAAAATTGGTTTAGATCGGTGAGAGGAATAAGAGATGCTATTTAGTGGCAGGGTCTAGGTTTCAGAATGCGTTAAAGGTTGCCCGGAAATAAGGGAATCTTGAATCAAGGCAACAGTACCTCTTGGTTACCATGCACAAAATGCCTTGGTTACTCAACAAAAAGATTGAGTGGGGCAGCTATCCGTCCGTGGTCTTGAGATTATATCGGCTATCTGTAGGCTTCTTCGAATGATTTTAAAAGGCTTTGAGCTTATTAACATTTCAACCGCTGTATTTCGAATTGATAGTCTTGAATTCAGGACAGAACTCATTTCTCTTCAAAGTTTCAATTATCTTCACCTTCTATTCGAAGCCGGATTCGGATGTTTTTTATCCAATTCACTAAAAATTGTTCTTAAAAATGCTACTTGTCTTGGTGGAAATGCTGTAACCAAGTTCAGTGACCTTTGAATAATTCTTTTGCAGGACTGAATTGATACGCTTTCATAAATAACAAATGTACCTGTCACAAAATTTTTACCTATTTAGCTCCATCAATTGTGAGCAACGGAATCATCTGTATTTTTGACTTATAATCTTATTGGTTGAGGTTATATTTCATGAATTTATCGGTACTTATAGGGTAGTCTTAACAAGTTCTTGTTCCCCTAATTAGTATTTTGTTATCATTATTAATAGATACAGTGATGAAATGCTTGTTTTATGGATTAAAGGATGAGAAGATGGATTTGAGAATGGGGTAAATCATTAACCGACTTAAAGTTATAGCTAGTACTAGTATACTCGAATGGCACAATTGATATTCCCCATCGGGGGGGGGGGGTGTGGGATAGACTTAACTCCTCGTGGTCCAGCCTGGGCAACGTATAATCATGCGGCAAAAAAGTCTATTAACCGACAGTTGACTTCTCACTTCAAACTACCATCACCCCCACTGCATGTCATATTCGACCCCTATCACAGTACTCATCTTACCCTTTCTGAGCCTGTGTCTGTCTGTTTTTTTTACATCTTTGAATCACTCTTCTATTTCTCCTCCCGAATTCTTCTCACTTTGATGTTTCTCCTCCCCTCTGTGAAGCCCGAAGTCAACTAAAGGGCTAATGATAATCATCAAAACGCCGGTCATTTGTTAAAAAAA